CTCCAGCAAAGGATATCATTGGTGTTTTTGATTTTAGCCATTCTGACAGGTGTAAGATGATATCTCAAAGTTGTTTTGATTTGCATTTCCCTGATCGCTAAGGAGGTTGAGCATATCCTTAAGTGTCTTTTAGCCATTTGAATTTCATCTGTTGAGAATTCTCTGTTCAGGTCAGTGCCCCATTTTTTAATTGGGTTAATTAGCATTTTAACGTCTAGTTTCTTGAGTTCTTTATATATTTTGGAGATCAGACCTTTGTCTGTTGCGGGGGTGGTGAAGATCTTCTCCCAGTCAGTGGGTTGCCTTTTTGTCTTAGTGACAGTGTCCTTTGCTTTGCAGAAGCTTCTCAGTTTCAGTAGGTCCCATTTATTCAATGTTGCCCTTAATGTCTGTGCTGCTGGGGTTATACATAGGAAGCGATCGCCTGTGCCCATCTGTTGTAGGGTACTTCCCACTTTCTCTTCTATCAGGTTCAGTGTGTTCAGACTGATATTGAGGTCTTTGATCCATTTGGACTTGAGTTTTGTGCATGGTGATAGATATGGGTCTATTTTCATTCTTCTACAGGTTGACATCCAGTTGTGCCAGCACCATTTGTTGAAGATGCTTTCTTTCTTCCATTGTATACTTTTAGCTCCTTTATCGAAAATGAGGTGTTCATAGGTTTGTGGGTTAAAATCTGGATCTTCTATACGATTCCATTGGTCAACTTCTCTGTTTTTATGCCAATACCAAGCTGTTTTCAATACTGAAGCTCTGTAATAGAGTTTGAAGTCAGGGATGGTAATGCCTCCCGAAGTTCCTTTATTGTATAAGATTGTTTTGGCAATCCTGGGTTTTTTGTTTTTCCATATAAAGTTGATTATTGTCCTCTCAAGATCTGTGAAGAATTTTGATGGGACCTTGATGGGGATTGCATTGAATCTATAAATTGCCTTTGGTAGAATTGCCATTTTTACTATGTTGATCCTCCCAATCCAAGAGCAAGGAAGATCCTTCCATTTTCTGGTATCCTCTTCAATTTCTTTCTTCAATGCCTTAAAGTTCTTGTCAAATAGATCTTTCACTTCCTTGGTTAGAGTTACTCCAAGATATTTTATGCTGTTTGTGGCTATCGTGAAAGGTGATGTTTCTCTGATTTCCCTCTCTGCTTCCATATCCTTTGTGTATAGGAGGGCGACTGATTTTTTGGAGTTGATCTTGTATCCTGCCACATTACTAAAGGTGTTTATCAGCTGTAGGAGTTCTTTGGTGGAGTTTTTGGGGTCGCTTATGTACACTATCATATCATCTGCAAATAATGAAAGTTTAACTTCTTCCTTTCCAATTCGAATCCCCTTGATCCCCTTATGTTGTCTTATTGCTATTGCTAAAACTTCAAGCACTATATTGAAGAGGTATGGAGAGATTGGACAGCCTTGTCATGTTCCTGATTTTAGTGGGATGGCTTTGAGTTTCTCTCCATTTAGTTTGATGTTAGCTGTCGGTTTGCTGTAAATAGCTTTTATTATATTTAGGTATGACCCTTGTATCCCTAATCTCTCCAAGACTTTTATCATAAAGGGATGTTGAATTTTCTCAAAAGCTTTTTCAGCATCTAATAAAATGATCATATGGATTTTTCTTTCAGTTTATTTATATGGTGAATTACATTAATAGATTTTTGTATGTTGAACCAGCCCTGCATCTCTGGGATGAAGCCTACTTGATCATAATGGATAATTTCTCTAATGTGTTCTTGGATTCGGTTTGCCATTATTTTGTTGAGGATTTTTGCGTCAATGTTCATGAGTGAGATAGGCCTGTAATTCTCTTTCTTGGGTGAGTTTTTGTGTGGTTTTGGTATCAGAGTGACTGTAGCTTCATAAAAGGAATTTGGCAATGACTCTTCTGCTTATATATTGTGAAATACATTAAGGAGTATAGGTTTTAGGTCTTCTTGGAAGTTCTGGTAGAATTCTGCATTGAAACCATCAGGTCCTGGGCTTTTTTTGGTATGGAGGTTTTTGATAACAGCTTCTAATTCTTTGCGACTAACAGGTCTATTTATGTTGTTCACCTGGTCCTGGTTTAACATTGGTATATGGTATTTATCTAAACGTGTCCATTGGTTTTACATTTTCCAGTTTTGTGGCATACAGGCCTTTGTAGTAAGATCTAATAATTCTTTGAATTTCCTGTGTCTGTGGTTATGTCCCCCTTTTCATTTCTGATCTTATTAATTTGCATATTCTCTCTCTGACCTTTGATTAGTTTGGATAGGGGTTTATCAATCTTGTTGATTTTCTCCAGGAACCAGTTTTTGTTTCATTGATTCTTTGGATTGTTTTCTGTGTTTCTATTTTGTTGATTTCAGCCCTCAGTTTGATTATTTCCAGTCTTCTACTCCTCCTACGTGAGTCTGCTGCTTCTTCTTTTTTTCTAGAACTTTCAGGTGGGCTGTTAAGTCTCCAATGTGTGTTTTCTCTGTTTTCTTTAAGTGGGCACTTAGTGCTATGAACTTTCCTCTTAGGACTGCTTTCATAGTGTCCCATAAGTTTGAGTTTATTTTCATTGAATTCAAGGAAGACTTTAATTTCTTTCTTTATTTCTTCCTTGATCCAGGTGTGGTTCAGTAGTTGACTGTTCAGTTTCCATGAGTTTGTAGGCTTTCTGGGGGTAGGGTTGTTGTTGAATTCTAACTTTAATCCATGGTGATCTGATAAGACACAGATGGTTACTAGTATGTTTTTGTAACTGTAGAAGTTTGCTTTGTTACCGAGTATGTGGTCAATTTTCGAGAAGGTTCCATGAGCTGCAGAGAAGAAGGTATATTCTTTCCTATTTGGGTGGAATGTTCTATAGATGTTGTTAAGTCCATTTGATTCATTAACTCTATTAATTCTCTTATTTCTCTGTTAGGTTTCTGTCTGATTGACCTGTCCATTGGTGAGAGAGGAGTGTTGAAGTCTCCTACTATTAGTGTGTGCAGTTTGATGGCTGCCTTGAGTTTTAGTAATGTTTCTTTTACATAATAGGTGCTTTTATATTAGGGGCATAGATATTCAGGATTGAGATTTCATCCTGATGAATTGTTTCTGTTATGAGTATAAAATGTCCCTGTCCATCTCTCCTGATTTATTTAAGTTTGAAGTCAACTTTGTTAGAAATTAGTATGGCCACACCTGCTTATTTCTTAGATCCATTTGCTTGATAAACCTTTTCCCAACCATTTACTCTGAGTAAGTGCCTGTCTTTGTGGTTAAGCTGTGTTTCTTGTAAACAGCAGAATGTTGGATCCAGAAGAGAGCACAAACCTCCCTCCCCCAGCTCCTTAGGCAGGGCTGTCTTTCTTACCATGACCCAGCATCCCAGCACCCCACCCCCAACCCTGCCCTGCTGTATGCTAGGACCAGTTTTAAGCTCCTACACTAAGGCTACCCACCCAGAGCGGTGAGCCTCAAGGTCCCCAGTAAGAGAGCCCGGGCACCCTCAGCCTGTGCTCCAGGGGCTCCTGTACTCTCCTGGATCCCGCTCGGCCTGCCCCGTTCTTCCTTCTGTCCCCGGATCATTGGGCTACCAGGCGGCCCTGTTTAGGTGCTGAGGAGTTCCATCTGGACAGGTGAGTGTGTGCTATCCAGGGGCGATTGCCCGGAAGAGAGCACAAACCCCACTCCCTCAGCTACTTTTGCAGGGCTGTCTTTCTTACACATGACCTCCCACCCCCACCCCCAAGCCTGCGTTTTCTGTTAGGTCCTTTGCTCAGGAACAGTTTTCTGCTCCTACACTAAGGCTTCTATATGTTTTTTTTAGTATTAACTTGCTCTAAAATTTATGCAAAACATATACTCTCAACATAAATCTATTCTTGGGTCTATGATTTATTTGTTCAGTGTAAAGTCTCAATTTCCCACTGTGTTTCAATAGAGAGATGTATAATTGTGATTTAGCAACAAACAACGTGCTTTATATTTTCAAAGACTTTCATGATTTCTAGTTTCAAATCTGAAATGGAGACTTATTAGCTTTGTCTGTAGGTTTGCTTCTTTTCATACTGGTCTTAGCAANCTTCTGTCCCCGGATCATTGGGCTACCAGGCGGCCCTGTTTAGGTGCTGAGGAGTTCCATCTGGACAGGTGAGTGTGTGCTATCCAGGGGCGATTGCCCGGAAGAGAGCACAAACCCCACTCCCTCAGCTACTTTTGCAGGGCTGTCTTTCTTACACATGACCTCCCACCCCCACCCCCAAGCCTGCGTTTTCTGTTAGGTCCTTTGCTCAGGAACAGTTTTCTGCTCCTACACTAAGGCTTCTATATGTTTTTTTTAGTATTAACTTGCTCTAAAATTTATGCAAAACATATACTCTCAACATAAATCTATTCTTGGGTCTATGATTTATTTGTTCAGTGTAAAGTCTCAATTTCCCACTGTGTTTCAATAGAGAGATGTATAATTGTGATTTAGCAACAAACAACGTGCTTTATATTTTCAAAGACTTTCATGATTTCTAGTTTCAAATCTGAAATGGAGACTTATTAGCCTTTGTCTGTAGGTTTGCTTCTTTTCATACTGGTCTTAGCAAGATTTGTCATTTCCTTCATCTCTCTCTCATGATTTCCATATTTTCCCATTTGACAGCCTTCCCAGCCAGGAATGAGACTAGCTGATGGTCATGCTTCCGGCTTCCAAGTTCCTGTACCAGAGAAAGACCAGTTTTAGGACAGAAAAAAAATTTGGCTTCATGGTTCTGTTTCTTTCTCACATGGTCAGTGACACTGAATGTCTCTACTGGACCACCGTCTACTCTTATATGAGTACAGGGTATGGGTTGTAGATAGCCCAAAAATACAAATTGGATCCAAATTAAGGCTTCGTAAGTATTTGACTTGATAAATTATTTAATCTACCCAATCCTGTTTCTTCTCCTCATGAACCAGCTCAGTCATTACCACAGAGCAGGGTAGTCCTGGGTGTCAGAGAGTACACAGCATGTGCTCATGTCCTTTTTTTTCTTGTTCCAGGAGCATTAGCGGAGATTTACTAAGCAAGGATTCCAACCTCTCAACCTGGGAGACGACCATCACAGCACCAAATGGAAGCATCTACTCTTATTCTTCACATTGTGAAATCATGTACCAAGCCATGGTTTATCTTTCCCTCGTCTTTACCACAGTTGGGATGGGAGGAAATGCCATCGTGTTGTGGATTCTGGGCTTCCACATGCGCAGGAATGCCTTCTCTGTGTACATCCTCAACCTGGCTATGGCTGACTTTCTCTTCCTGAGTTTTGAATTTCTATATTGCATTTTTTATGTCATTTACATCTTCTCCTCCATTTTCATCGAAATCCCTTCATTTCTTTGGGTTGTGCAAAGTCTTGCTTATTTTTCCGGTCTGAGCATTCTCAGCGCCATTAGTGTTGAGCGCTGTCTGTCTGTTTTGTGTCCCATCTGGTATCGCTGCCAACGCCCAAGGCACACATCAGCTGTGATATGTGCCTTACTTTGGGCTATGTCCCTGCTCTTGAGTCTTCTGCATGAGGAGGCATGTGGCTTACTTTTTAATAACAATACATGTTTGTCGTGTGAGACATTAAATTATATCTCAGATTATTGGTCAATTATTTTATTTGTGGTTCTCTGTTTTTCCAGCCTCACCCTGCTGGTGAGGATCTTCTGTGATTCACAGAGGATCCCTGTGACAAGGCTGTTTTTGACCATTGTACTCACAGTGCTATTCTTCCTGATCTTTGGTCTCCCCTTGGGAATCAGCTTTCTCCTCCACACATGGCTTAGAGATTTGTATTACGCTAAACTTTGTGATCTTTATGTGACAGTATTTCTATCCTGTGTTAACAGCTGTGCCAACCCCATCATTTACTTCTTCATTGGCTCCATCAGGCACCACAGGTTCCAGCGGAAGTCTCTGAAGCTGTTTCTTCAGAGAGCCTTGCAGGACACTCCTGAGGAGGAAGGTAGAGAGAGGGCCTGTTCAAGAGAGACTGGAGAACTTGAAACAATGTAGTGCAGCAGCTGAGAGATGCTCTGATGAGACAGAAGCGGTTTTGAGAGAGAATTTTTTCCCATATATGTGGGTTATTTTCCCAACCTTGTTCAGTTTGTCACCTGACTTCAACCATTTTTTAAAAAGAATAACCTTTTGTGTGGAAGTTGAGTGACCCAAAACTTTTTATGCAAGCACTGACTGCAGCATTTCTGGAGCTATCTTATATTGGGCCTCCTCAAATCCATATAATGGGGCTCCCTATAAGCGCTCCGGGTGTATGAATTGCTCCCACTGATGAGAAATCCCTCCTTCATCATAAGACATAAAAAGTACAGAAATGGATTACATTTCTTATGCACTGAAATTTATAGAAGTTAAATAATTGTTATAGTTTACTAAAATTTTTCACAGCATTTTTCATTGTTTCAAGAGTTAAACAGATATCTCTTACAATGCCAGTTCTTATTAATGTCTATAGGTTTTGAAGAATCTATGTAGCTATATTCTTTCTTACATAAATTGTTTAGTAAACAAATATGCATTTTCAAGAGAAGTCCGTCTTAAATCTCTTCTCACCAAGTGATTTCCTTGCCTTCAAATTCACTGTATCTGTCTTTTTCCACATTGGAAGAGTCTGGTCAGGAACTGTATTGAGATCTGTAAACATCCATGCACATCTGAAGGGAGAGGGAGAATGTCATCTGAGGTTCCCTTCACAAGGCCTTGCTTAGCATTCCTTGGTCAATTCATTTCTCTTCGTCTCTTCTTTGCCATGATCTACGTCTCCCTGAATGCCTAATTCTTTAAGACAAATTTCCAAAAAATTCTTTAGAGCAGGTTCCCTTGAAATCAACCATGCTTCAAATTTATGCTATATTATGAATTATGCTTATTTTAGTAACATTTTTCTATAAAATGCTGTCCCAATTTTAAAGCTCAGGTATGTGATAATTTCAAATGAAGCATTATTAAGAGAGCATAATATGGACATATAAAAGGGGAAAACCCAAAATATTTTGTTAAGTAATTTTGAGTAGAGGACTGAGAATCAATAAAGACCCAGAAGGTCCCTTACTCTGCTTTATCCATTTCCTACTCAATCATAAATCTTTGGATCAGAGGTCAGCACTATACAAATTTCTATCCTAAATTAAAATTTAGATTGCGAATTGGAAGACTGTAACATAAATATTGGTATGCACGTTGAAGAATGATTGTTACATTTGAACAAACATACATCATATGTATAATATAATATAATAATATAATATAATATAATATAATATTGTGCCTGTCTATGTTACTTGCTTTCATACTTGACACTTTAACAGGCAGTTGGTGTGCGCTTTCTAGAGGAAGACTATTTCTCCCATTTTCAACATTCCTTAATTATCTGTAGTTTTCTCTGCAGGATCCAGGCCTTGTGATTATTTCCCCATCTAGCTTGTCTTTGTTCAGTTCATGTTTAGTAAATTACATTGGTAAGACTTTATTGGTGTAGCTTTGATATTACCCAAAGATACAATCTCACAACAAACTTCTAGAT